TTTTTTATATATTCTTTCAAAAATCAAAATCCTAAGTTAATATAATAATAAAATAAATAAATTGAGTTAGAGATATTCATTGTATTGTCATGTTGTATTTTTGATATTTATTTTTATTACAAAATAATTTTTATAGACATAAACACTCGACTTGAAACAAATTCTCAGTATTTACATATTTTTTACACAATAATAAAAAACATAACGCAATTGTCACTATTTCTATTTGACAATTTTTCGATCCGATCTACCGATCCGACACAGGTATGGGTGAGGACGATTTGGGTTACCAATCCGTTTTTTAAATATTGGGTGTGCCACAAAGTTGGAAAAAATATCTTTTGAAGTTTAAGCTTGGTCAATGGAATAAATGCAACCATCTAATTTCACATCCAATAAACAAGACCAAGGAAAAAGATTATATAAGGATGCTACCTTATAATGTAGAACTACGGATGACCATAAAAAATCCATCGAAAAATGTAGTTTTAATGTTGAAAAATCCTTTGATTGATCATCTCGACATCGAGATGCATGACTATGAAAAATAAAAAAATCTCAAAAATTATGCATTTTACAACATATTATCTACACCGTCCATTTTCAAGATTTTCATATGTTTATAGATCTACTTAATTTTAACTATTTTTTAAATTTAGAATTTTATAATTAGATATAAAAATAAATTTTGAGATAATTTTAAGAATGTTTTACATCAAAATTATATACCATGATAAAATTTAAAGATGTACTTTACCTCTACACTTACGGATACATCCGTATACAAATTGTAGCCCAAAACTAATTATGACTACCTTATATAAAAGATAAATGGTTTCGAAGCAGATAGATAACGTGGATATTAGAAAGGATTAGAGGGGTATTTCCGACATTATCCTTCTTCTGAAGGGTAAATGCGCACTTTCCACCCCGTATAGCCAGTTTAAGGTTACAGTTATTTCCTAGGGGTATATCCGTCATTTGTGGGCCCCAGCCCGCACCAGGGAGAGCTTGCAGAGAAGGGGAAATCGGCGGTTCTAGGGCAAAGGGCAAAATGGGAAATTGGTAAAGAAGGCAAGCGCACATGGGTGGGCTTCTCGCTCACTTTTTTTTCTTCTAAAGCATCTCTCAAGTCCCAACCACCTTCCCCGTAAGCTACTCACCTCTCCAACCATACATTTCTTTAATTGTTAACCACAATCTCACATTAATTTAATTTATTTAAAAATGTGGTAATAATTCAATTTCCAAATATAGAAAGCTAGGTTCAATTTTCCAAGAATGATCCTAATCCAAAAAAAAAGCAAGGAATTCCTTGTTAGGGAAAGTTTTTAACTGCTCATAAACTATGTGCTTTTCACTCCTCATAAACTATTGAGGATTTCATTGCTAATTTTGCTAGGGAAAAAGTTATTAAGAAATGATTATATTTTATGTTGTCTAGCTTATAATGTAGTTATCAAAATTGGACCAAACCGGTGGTTTGAGGGGTAGAACCAATGACTAGACCCTTATTTGGTCCAGCATGAGCACATAACTAGTATTTGTTGAGAACCGTTCAAAACCGATGGTTAATCGGTTGAAATGGTTTGACCGCCAATCTTGTCAGTTCTCTTGGATGAACTGATAAGCCGGCTCAATCTTTCACTCACTGCCCTTGCTATTTCTTGGCATGATTTTTCCCTGTTTTTTCTTCTATTTGATTGCACATGATATTTATTACCAAGCCTTTAATTCATAAAATCTCAAGATTGTGGCAAAAAAAAGAGTCACCCTTAATGGTTAAAAGTAGTAATTTTTGTTAGTTACCATTTTGGCATGCTGTTCTAGGCTTCTTTTTTTAATGCTTTTTTTGTTTCCATACATTCTTGATATTTTCTTTGCAATAATAATTTATGGATATTGATGTCACAGGTTAGATGAATTTGGCACTAAAATCATGTACTATTTTTTAAAATCCAATATTTGATATTTTTTACACAGGTTGGATTTTTTGAAAAATATCCTATCTTTAACCAAGCTTAAAATTGTTTTACCTAATACTTTTCTTATTTTTAAAATTTAATCTATTTTAAAGATGGAAGTACCGGTTCGATTCCGATAACACTGGTTTACAGTTTACAATGAGAATTGAAGATTTATTAGGAATTTGGGTGGTCGCCTTTCAAACCGTTTTGAATGTCTTACAAATAGTCTTTACCATAGTCCGCAGGGATAAAAATGGGACATAACACGGTTATGTTATCATTGGCCCCTCTGTGCATGTGGTCGGCGTCCCATTATCTCATTATAATCCAACCAAAACCCCTCCCCTATATATATACTCCTACCCCCCAACATCCATAATCCTCCCCTCCCTCTCTATCTCTATCTCTAGGACTCCCTTCTCTACGGTTGTATCTCTCTAGGACTCCCTTCTCTACGGTTGTATCTCTCCAGGACTCCCTTCTCTTCTGTTTTTCACAGAACCCTCCATCTCTTTCTCTTACAATGACGAGCTTCAGCAGATGCAACAAGATCCGCCACATAGTGCACCTGCGTCAGATGCTCCGGAGGTGGCGCCGCAAAGCCGCCGAGGCTGCGCAAGTCTCGGCTTTTCCGAGTGGATTTTCTGGAGAGTTTTCGGGTGGCATCCCGGCGGATGTGCCAGCCGGCCACCTGGCTGTGCAGGTGGGGTCGAAGAGGTTCGTGGTGCGCGCGACCCACCTGAACCACCCCGCCTTTCAGAGGCTTCTGCGGGAGGCGGAGGAGGAGTATGGGTACGAGCAGCAGGGGCCCCTGTCTCTGCCCTGCGACGAAAGGGTGTTCGAGGAGATTTTGCTAATTATCGGGGGCAAGGGCAAGGGGTGTGGAAATGGGCTCTGGAAGGAGTCTTCTATGCCCTTGCTCCATGGCCTTGTGGAGAAGTCTGTTGGGTGAGAGATTTCCCTTCTTAGTGGGGGGGGGGGGGGGGGTTTCCGGAATTTTGTTTTTCCGGTGAGGGTTTATTGTTCTCCGAGGACCTGTGGAGATGGCAAGCGAAGGGATTCGGAGTCGTCCCGTGTTCGATACGGAGCAATAAGAGCGGCAACTGTGCTTGCCATCCTTTGAGACACAAGTGATTTGTGCCCTGTGTCCTCTGGAGAGAAACAGACTGTGTAATGTGTATATTCTTGTGACTATTCATTCATTAATTCAAGAGAGAAGTACATTTCTTGATGGTAAGAGGATTTTGTGGTTTTAAGCTTCTGCCATTTTCTTCTTCTTCATTATCTGCTTCACATTACAGGCCACAAAGGGAGAGAGTCATGTTGGTTGCTTTGTTTTAGAGAGAGAAAGAGGAAGAGAGAGACGTTGTGCGCTTTGTTTTAGAGAGAGAAAGGAGAGAGAGTTACGTGGGTTGCTTTGTTTTAGAGAGAGAAAGAGGAAGAGAGAGAGAGATTGTTTAAGGGGTTGGAGGGATTGTTGGCATTGCTCAGAGGAGCATGTGTTCATCTCCCATGTTCTCCTGACGCCAATATAACATGGACGAGGGCGACGGTTTGTTATTTTCAGCAGGAAAAGATAAAAAATTTTTAAAAAAGGAATTTCCAAAGACTTGACAGAAATATCCAAATTGACATCCTCACAGTGCATGCAATTGATCTCGTTAGTCTGCATGTCATGCTGCATCTTAGCCGTCGTTTCCTAAAATGGACAATTGCAAAATGATAGTTCCATGATAAATTATACCTTGACCAGCCACCGGACACCGGCCTGGCCAACCACTGTCATCTTCAACCGCTTCTTTCGGAAATGGACTGTCAGGATGCCATGTACCATAGTTACTCGTATTTTATAGTACATTACAAAATAGTACATTATGGAAAGGCACTATTGTAGAAACATGTGTGCATGCGGGAAAAAAAAAAAAAAAACTTTGAAACCAGTAGAAACCAGTAGTGGCACATCTTGAAAAACTTGATTTCATATTTAATAGCTAAAAATGATTATGATCTCTTTATCGTAAGAAATACAAGTCGTTTGTTATCAAAACAATGGCATGTATAGATCATAGCTCGGACATGATAGACAAACTTCGATATCAAGATTTCATCTCCAATGTGCATTTCAACAATGGACGGTTGATGCATTGCCAAGTATATGTCTATACTTATTCGTTAGGGGCACACTGCATAGGCTCATAAATCTAGACCTCTTGATATTAAGATTCAATTTTTCTTGAAAAATTCTACCAAAATATTGAGAATTCTAGAATTTTCATAGTGAGTATTGAACATGGCTTAAATATCAATGTTGTGTCAAAACGCAACCAGTCGAACTTTGGTCTTGAACTTGGCAAAAAGACTCATTATTTGGTAATTTAGTGGGGAAGATATATCCCGACTTGTTTTTTCAAATATTTTAGGAATTAGTTTTTTTGAATTAAATGGAATGGTATTAGTGAGAATGAAAACCATAACGTGGTGACTAGAGTATTTAGTGAGAATGAAAACCATAACGTGGTGACTAGAGTACTGCGGTGCTATCGTCACGACCCAGCCCCTTTCCCATTAAATGACATACAAAGGCATAATAATCATATTTGAAATTCGTAGGCTTTTTCTTGAATGTTAGATGTTTGGACTCTGCAAAAATTTGGTAGTGGGTCAAATCTTAATTACTATTATAATTATGATTTATCAACTAGGTTTTTGTTTGAAAGCCTTCTATTAGAAATAATAGCAATCTTATTCGAAGGAATATTATATGAGGAGTTTCATTCCCACATGCAAGGGCGTGAACCCACCATGTGATCGTCTGTCGGCCTCTAACAAGAGGACCTCCTTTGCTATTCATTCTTTGCATATAACCCCAATTTCCACCAAAATTATTTGAAACACCCCTATGTGACCCTACCTTTTAAATTTGTTAAATTATTTGATAGGGATACAGCCCTATCAAAATAAGTAAATCCTCCCCTCAAAGCTTATTGAAAATTGTAGCTTGGCGCTAGAAATCCTTCAAATTGATCATGTTAGCCTTGATTACGATGGCTATAAAAAAAATAAAATAAAAAGCTTTCATGCCCTAAAAATAGTATATATTGTAACACGTTATCTAGACCGTTTATTTGCTCTAAAAATAAGTGTTCAAATATCTGCAAGATTTGTATCATTTTTTTAGCTCAAATTTCACAATTGGTGTTGAAAATTAATTTAAAGCCATCATGGAGATATCTTATGCCCAAAATGCTTACTGAACAATGATTCGATGTGAGACTTTGTCTTTTATAAAGCATAAGCCTTATAAAATTTGCATCCTTCAAAATTTACATCCCTTGCCTTGAAATTTATGGTAATAACCCTCATTATGCCTTAGCACCAATGCCAAGAAACAAAGAGCTGCACTTTGGACCTGCAAAATGCATCAAATTATCCCACCTAGTTCTTGGACCTGCAAAATGCATCAAATGATCCCACCTAGTTCAAATAAGCAGAGTTCACTTGTTAGACTAGTTATCAACATCATTCAAGTTTTGACCAAATTAATTAGGGTTGACTGCATGAATCATGTTCCTCACCTTTTTTTGTATCAAGAAAACTTGTTAGACTAGTACTAAATACTAATATCTTTTTCTCTTTTTTCTTATTTGTTGTATTTCATTAAGTGGCCCTACTGGAGTGAAACGTGTTAGACCGGACCATAGAAAGCTATATGACAATGAATACGGGTACTACAGATATTTTTTCAATTAGGGGACTGGCACATATTGTCATGTTCTGTCTTTAGATGACACTTCAATGAAAATTTGAGGGTCGATTGATTGATTTAATTTGGCAAAGATCATTGAATTTATGTACGTTGACCATACACACACACATTGAATGATAAAAGGCCCCAAGGCACGGCATGCTGGGAAAAGGTCCCACTTGAAGGGGAAGAAATGTCCAACAAAAGAATTATTAAAGACCATTTGCAAAAATAACATGGTTTCTCAATAATGCATTTAATGAAATATTTGGAAAATTCTTTGGAAAATTCTTCGAAAAATTGCAGGCACCGAGTTCCTAGTGATTTTTAAATATGTATTGTCTTTGAGGCTTTTTTATATTTTACATCAAATGTTTATAGCAATTTGATGGTAGTAAATAAACTCAAAAAAAAAAAACAAAGTAGGGGCTCATCATCCCCACTGATTTACCCCAAAAAAAAAAAAATGTTTATAGCAATTGATATACATCTCGAAGTCGCGATGACCAATTGGAGGACTTTCCAATGTGAAATAATATTTTATGAGGAATTTTTGAGGTGGCCTTACTTTTATAGTACAAGGTTCATACCTCACGAACTTTTCCCTTCCAATAATATTACTAATTTGAAGTTTATAATGTACATGCGAGCAAATGTTTGATTGGTAACTTTAAATTTCATTGCTACATTAAAATGCGTAAGGTTTATATAACTTTCCGTTCTTATACGGTAGAAGTAAGGCCGTTCCGGTATCAGAAACTTTAAGATGGCTTGAAAATCTATTTTTATCTCTAGTGATAAAATTTAAAATATAAAAATAATAAAGATTGGGAAAATCAATAAACAATTGAAAATCTTAAAAATAGATATTTTAGATAACTTGCAACAAGATGCAATATTGTCTGGACTTGGAATTCTTTTCTGCTTTATGTTTATACATCTCTAGATCGAGATGATCAATTGGAGGGTTCTCCAACATCGTAACACTGTTTTCAATATGTTTTTTGAAGTGCACCTTATTTCAATAGTATAGAGTTGCAACCTTATATAAACCGTCTTTCTATAAAAATTGACCTTATATAAACCGTTTTCCTATAAAAATTGATATCGATTTTTTGTTTTTTTTCATGATCTCCATGTTAGAGATTTCATGTAGTTAAAAATTAAGTAAAAAACTCCTTCTATTGATATGGAATTGAGTCTCACTCACTACAAAACTGAGCCTAGCAACTCCTTTTTCTGGCTATCTTTTGCACCTTCTCTAGTTCCAATGCTCGAATGGGAAAACACTTTCTCAATAGTGGAAGTGGCCTTCTTAATTTCGTGAAACACTAGTGGTAGGACGTCCACGGTTATGTCCCATATATTATTACATTCTATGAAGGGCACGGTTTCTATGAGTCCATGTAGAAATGAGACACCGCTTAAAAATCTTGTAAAAATGAGTCACCTCTTAAAAATTTATTTTTGAGATGGATTTTTGGACTTAATTTTTTAAGGACATATAATTTCTCACATGGATGTAAAAACCGCAATTCAATTGCACCATACCACTTGCGACAGTAGAGAGAGAAGGGAGTCGAGAAAGATGGAAGCGCACGACCGGTGCTAAGAGCAAAGGTTAGCGTCGTTTGAGTATTTGGACCTAGCATGGAAGCTATAGCCGAGCGCAAGGGTGAAGAATGGTAATGCCATGTGCGATTGAGGAGTATCGCCATGCGCGAAAGGCGTAAGAAACATCGCCACGCGTAAAGGAGGTTAACGCCTTGCGTGAAACAAGGTATCGTCGACTGGAGCGTCGCCGCGAGCTTATCACTGCCTGGATTAAGGACGCAGCAAAGAGAAGAGGTAGAGAGGCAAGATATTGCCGCAAGCGTAAGAGGAAGCTATCGCCGCGAGCGTAAGAGGAGGCTATCGCCGCGAGCGTAAGAGGAGGCTATCGCCGCGCTTACGCGCTCGTTAAGCGTTGGACAATGGCCGACAAGGTCAGTGCCGCACCGCTTTTGTCAGAAATGCGCTGCACGGCTGACGTCCACTACAGTTTTTTGCCCCACCTACCGCGACGTCAGCCACAGTAAGCTTCACCAACTCCCACCAACCCTCACCTACCCCGGCGTCTTTAAATAATGCCCTATACCTATCGGCGTGCGCATGCCTGTACCATAGCCGTGGGAGTGCTATCGCTGTAAAGAGGCCTCTAGGATGAA